ACCAAGGCGATCGAACGGGGAAGGGGGAACGAGAGAGCCGAGGATCTGGGCAACTGGAGGAACAAAACGGGGCCGGTCCCAATAGTGCTCTATGCTATCGGGTTCGTGGGGGCATCCCAAAGACAACTACACTGAACAGTCTGCTGAAACCGTTTGCGGGCCAGCCAACTCTTGGAAAACGTCTTTATACAACCTAAAGCGTGACAAGATTTGAGCGAGGACAGGGTCGCCTGAACTCGGCCCCAGGGAATCGCACAAATCGCTTCAACGTCGGCGGGAGGCCAATCTCACAGCCGACGGGTCAGGAGTTCAGACCAGTCATCGGGAAAAAGGACACGTTCGAATCTAGCAACTAGTAGACGTTGTAGCTTAAAGGAGTCGGGCTTCACGTCTTCGGCACGCTCACGGCGGGAATCTGCAACGAACGCACAGCCAACTCTCGGCGATGACGTCGGCTGGGGAACCCGAGGAAGGCGTCAAACATGTGCTCACACATGGCCTTGCTTTTCCAAGACGTCGGCGCTCGCAGCCCCGCGCCGAGGCCCTGGGGGCCGAGCCGGCCCCTTGCGACAGCCTCAAGACGGGCGCGCCCCATTCGCCAGGCCGCGAAGGTAGCGGCGGCAGCGCGGGCGCAAGCGGCCAATGACATGGCCGCGCTCATCGTGAATTTCGGCTTCCAAGATTATCCCGGGCACTCCGGGACAGGACGCAATGCGGGGAGTTAAAGACGCTAGCCAACAGGGCCGGTTCTCTATGGGCCATGCCGTCGGAGACTGGGAAGAATTGCGCAACGCGCGGTAAAACCGAGGCCACTCGCGTCGTCCACGGGCATTCTTGCACCGCGGATGGGGCGCGGGCGCGGGCAAGGAGGATGCCTCGAGACGACCACTTGGCCGCAGGGGCCCTCCAAGATATTTCTTCCGCGCCGAGGCCTATCCAGCCTATCCAAGAGGCCGAGGTGTTTGAGGTTTGGCACGATTTCAGAATCCTCCCAGTCGGGGGGGGGGGAGACATTGCGCATCGCACACAGCTGCTGGAGGGCGCTGCTGAACTCCCCAGCGAGGGGCGTGACCGCGCACTTGCTGGGCTTCAAAATCACGCAGGCCACCCCCACAGCCACCTTAAATACTCTGAACAGGTGTCTGAGGTGGGTTAGGTTTATCAAGGCTGCACCAATGTCGTCGGCACAAGCTCGCGCCGTTCCCCGTCGCTTCGGGCACGCGCGCCCCATGCAACACTGCAGCAACACACCCGTAGCAGCAGCACACAGAGGACCATGGCTGGACAGCCATGGATAATACAACCACTGGCTGGACAGCCATGGAAGAGCACGCGCCCGAAACTGCCCAAAACAGAAGACGTTAAAATAGAGGAGCTCCGAGCACACAAGTACAGGTGGAGGAAGTGAGATTGCACGGCGAACCTCGAGGAGCCAGAGGTGGGCGAGGGAGGGAAAGACTTGTTGAAAGCCGAAAGAGACAAGAAGGGAAAAGTTTGCCCTGGCACTGGGTGGCATGGCAAAGCGCCTGGCAGCACCGTCGACTTTCATAATCGCATCTCCAAATTGGCACCCTCCAGTGAATCCGCGTTGGGCGGGGCAAGCCAGCAAGGCTCGCTGCTGCGCAAATCCCAAGACACAAACGCCAGTGAAAAGTTTGGTGTCGGCGTTGATTTTTGATCAGCCGCAAGGGCCTCCGACGGTCGGGAGGGAGTCCGAACGGCGTCGACATGGTCATCGGGGTCGTCTCATTCGGGAAGACAAACCCCCAGCACGTAATTAGATCCCACGGGCAGCTGTCCGCCCTCGAGGATGAACCGCAGCACATTCCACGGGACTTCCAGCGCCTGCGGTGAATGCTGCCACGCAGCATAAGGTAGCAGGCCTGGGCCAGGTGCACAGTCGGACTGCCGCGCCACGCACCGTCGTAGTTGGTCGAAGGTAGGGGGAGGGAGGTCGCTGAGGTAGAAGTGGGGGGCGAATCGGTTACGCAAGGTTCGGCGTCGTTTTCGCGAATAGATTCCGTGGAAAACGTCTCGCCCCAATGATTCGCGATCGCATGGCACACGTCGGCAGGGTCGGAGTGCTCGGCGCCGTCTGCAAGAACGGCGCGCAACAGAACTCGGCGATCAGATGGGGCCCACAATCGGCCACGCTGTTGGAGACGCCTCATTCGAGCTCTGAGTTTCTTACCAAGACCTTCGCTGGGGTCGTTGTCCTGCACGCGTTGGATCCTCCTTCTCCCCCCCTCAAAATCGGCGGTCTGGGCCGGGTCGATGGCATCGGAAAACTCCCGGGGAAGTCGCAGTCGAACCGCCCTGGAATCGCAATCGAGCTCGAGGTGCGTCCTCGGCGAGCGGGCGGGCCTGGACCAGCACGCGCGCGCGCTTGAAATCCCGAGGCCAGACCACTCTAGCGCAATCCCTGAGCAGGATCAGCTTCGCGAGGTTGGGATTTGGAGAGGCGGCGAGGAAAGCCTCTCGGGCGAACTTCGCGCCATCTCGCACCGGGCCCTTCTAGACCTGCAGCCGGAGCGGGGCGGCGAGCGAGAAGTGGTCCACGGAGGCGAGGCAAGGGGGCGTGCACTGCTTGAAGTGCGCCGTCGCAGAGAGCTCCTTCGGGACAGGTCTCCCCCCATGGAGGCTTCGGCACCTGCGCCCGCAGTTCAGCTTTGACCGCCACGCGGTCGGAAAACCGTGGGTGGTTAGTGGTCGTCACATCCCCTTATAGTCTCACCGCCTGCATGTAGCTGCGCAATCGCCCACCCAGGAGTAAAAATAAAGATACTGTCAAGAACACTAATAATGTTATTGTGAATATTTATACGGGCGGGGTCTGGCTGCTCAAGCTCGGTCATATGCGGAAAGAAGGCAAGCCAGACACGGTCTTGCGACGATCTCAAGTAGTTCGCAGCTCGGCGCGGGACTTCAGTAGCCTCGGTCGTGATCGTCGGGCGGGGTGGGGAAGCAGAGATGTTGAAATCGCCAACAACCACCCGTCGGAGGCAGCCTGCAGATCCTCGCGGATCACGTCGATCACCAGATCCCTAGAAAGCCCAAAATTGCGGATGTTGTAGTGGGCAAGCCGCCCGTCGAACCCAGGGAATGTGACTTTGACGCGGATAACCCTGCCCGCAACAAGAGTAAGAGGTACGATAGCCGGAGTCGAACCTCCAGATTCACCCAATATTCCCGGGAGCTTCGGCACAGACGTAACCGCACACCCCGTGTTGGCCGCGCCTGCATGTGAGTAGCAGTAGCAGTGGTGGCCCTTCCGAGCAATGTGTAGGAAGTCATGCACTTCTGCTTCGGCCCCCCGAGACCCCTGAAGGGCGACCAGGCTGAAGTGGGAGGGAAGGGAAGCAAGGCACTGGCACTTCTTAGTGCGGAGGCGGGAGTCGCGGTGGAGGAGGGAGCGGGAGTTCCAGGTCAGTATGCCGATCGAGGAACGCTGTGAGCACTGGCCTTGCCACCTAGCAAAGAATGTGCTAAATACTCCAGCAGCAGCTGCGGCGAACAAATGTTGGAACTTGCGCTGCAACTGGCCCTTGCCCCGGTTGGCAGAACGGAGGTCGGCGATTAAGAACTCGATGGTCGGCTCTTCCGTGCCAGGCATGGGCGCGCATTTGACCCATGGCTTCCACTTGAGCACGAGGAGGCCCTTCCCGCGGTCCGCGTAGACGCGGGCGTCGGGATAGAGTTCCTCGGCCGCACGCTCGATGAGCTTGATGCCCGTCTCGCGCTGCATCATGAACGGGGTTCTTGTCGGGGACACGAAGACCTCCGCTGCGCCTCCCGTCGGGAGGGTAGCTGCCACGCGGCGCCATCCAGCATTCCGCCCTGGGAGGCGGAGGGCGGACATGCACCTGGCGACCACACGTGCAGCATATTCACATGCACCTTGGAAGCGTAGCGACCATCGCTTCGCAACCTCATCTCCGTCCAGCTGAACCTCGGCTTCTTCGATACTGGCGGACTGAAGCCACTCGGCGATGGTGATACGAACAGCAGCCTGCGGGACCGTGGCACGAGTCCGAAGCACCAAGATCGTCGGGTCGACGTCGCGCTCGAAGCCATTCCCCATGACCACGGCGCGAGGTTCTTCTTTGTTGATGGCACCGAGCAGCTGCTTGAGGTTGTCCAGTTCCTTCTCAAGGGTGTTGATATTCTCGCCATGGTCGACGATCCTGCGCAATTGTTGGTGAGTGTGGTTGGTGAGTGTGGTTCCGACAGTCGAGAGCTGCCTCTGCACGAGGGCAAGGGCGGACATAACGCCGGCCTTGGAACTGTTAACGTATTCGCGGAGCTCTTGAGCGTATTCACCAGGAGGAGGAACAGCAGGGAAAGCAGCAGCAGACCCCGCGGCTCCAGGGGATCCCGTCCCAGCGCGCGGCAAAGTCTGGCGAGACTGCTTCGGGGAGCGCGTCTCTTCATGTGCGCTCTCGAACCGATCACTGGCAGGCATCGCGTCGTATTGCTAAGATATCTTAGCGGACACCCCAAACGAGATGTGGCAGCGAGTGAAACAAACGCTCAGAAGGGAGGCCTGATCGTGGGCTGCCTCCACTGCAAAGCGAAGCTGTCCTGGCCAGCTGCCTTGCGGAAATGTTTTACTTGAGCCAAAATAGCTACGGACCTCCTCCTCCTCCTCCTCCTCCTCCTCCTCCTCCTCCTCCTCCCCTTCTCCCCTCGGACTCATGTCCTCCCTTTGCTCGCTCCCATCCCCTCCACGTCCTCCTCCTGTGGCGTTCCTCTCTCCGCTCCTCCTCCTCCCCCCCACACCCCTCCTCCTCATCATCATCCTCGGGAATGGCTCCCCACCTCTCATCCTCCACCCTCCTCCTCGCAATGGCAAGCCTCTGCAACCCGCGGCGGATCTTCGCCGCGAAGACCGGGTACGAACAGATCCCCTTCACATGCGCCACCACCACGCCGGAGTCGTCCTGACGAGGGCGGGGAGGAAGGAGAAGGAGGCAGGAGGTGGAGGAGGGAGGCAGTGGGCGGGGGGAGGATGGAGGAGGAGGAGGGAGGAGAAGCAGGGGGCAGGCAGGGAGTGGCAGGGAGAAGAGGTGGCAGGGAAAGCGAGGAGCGGCAGGCAGGTGCAGGCAGGCGCCCTCCCGGCGAGACGCCGCGGTGGCACGGCCCGCCGCTGGCAGGCGGCCCGCCGCTGGCAGGCGGCCGCGGTGCCGCGAAGGCGCCCGCAGCAGCTCTGCGGCACCCGCGGAGGGGAACGGCCAACGCCTCGCACCCACACCCCACACCCACGGGGGGGTCGGAGGAAGGAGAAGTGGCTACAGGCTGCGCATGGGTGCGAGTTGTCGGGCCCAGAGGGAGGCTCCCGCTCGAGCGGGGACGCCCGTCCGGCAACACGCGCCCATAGCCCCCTCCGTCCCGCCTGTGGGTATGGGTGTGTGTGTGTGCTGTTCGTTTGCCTGGGGGGCCGGGGTACGAGTCGGCTGGAGGCTCGCCATGCCCTGACTTCCTCGCGCCGTCAAGAGAATCACTGCGGAGCATGCCTCTGCGCGATCTTCGGCCTCTGGGGGCCTGGGGTCCCTCCCCTGGTCTGGGTCGGCCAAACGCAAGGGTGTCCCTAGGCAAGGGTAACCTGTGGTGCGCGGCCTCAGGGGGGCGCGGGGAGGGAGGAGGCAAACTCGAGCGTGCAAACTCCTCCTCCTCCCTCCTCCTCCTCATCCTCATCCTCCTCCTCACCCTCCTCCTCATCCTCCTCCTCCTCCTCCTCCTCCTCCTCCTCCTCCTCCTGCTCCTCCTCCTCCTCCTCCTCCTCCTCCTCCTCCTCCTCCTCCTCCTCCTCCTCCTCCTCCTCCTCCCCCATTGCGTCTCCTTACAAAGAACTCCTCCCTGTCGCACCCCGAGGCCAGTTTTCGGGCGGGCCGCGATTCGCCTAAGACTTCCTCACCATGTATCTGACGCTTAATAATTGGCAACAGTTTCACAAATGGAGGGCGGATCGTTTTCAAAATGTGGCTTCGCCTTATCGCCGCGCACATTCGCCATTAAACTTTGCAAGAGCTTCACGGATTGAGGGCGAGTCGTTTTCTAAATGTGGCTCTCGCCTTAGCGCCGCGCACATTCGTCTTCAACATTTGCAAGAGCTTCACGGATTACGGGCGAATCGTCTTCAACATGTGGCTCTCGCCTTAGCGCCGCGCACACTCGATTTCAAAACTTGCAAGAGCTTCACGGATTGAGGGCGGCTCCTTTTCAAAATGTGGCTCTCGCCTTAGCGCCGCGCACACTCGTCTTAAACATTTGCAGGGGTTTCACGGATTCCCATGATCAACGTACCAGACATGGCGATTTGAAAGGATTCAGGCGTATGAGGGTGCACAAATTATGTTGGTTCGCGGTGTTCAAATCCCAGGTGGCGTTCTAGCACGATTCAGGATCGTCAAGACGCAACAGTCAGGTTGATCCGTGGCGTTTGAATCCCAAAGAATATGTTTTGGCATGCTTCAGGGTCTTCCAACAGTTGTCTTCCAACGAGGCAATTCCTCCAGTAAAATTGAGCCGTTGTATGAGGCCTATGAAAAGGGAGCTTGGAGGGAGGGTTTATTCCAGCATCGTTGATGCCTCTTGGGTTTACACTGGTCCTCCTCCTCCTCCTCGGTTGGAATCCGTAGCCATTTTGGGCCAAGCCGTTGTGGTTCAAGCTGTTTTGGAGCAAGCGGTCGCAGCGGCCGCAGGCGCCCGCCTGCTCGGCATGGTTCGGCCTCGAGGGGGCCCTGCGGCTGGAGGGGAGGGCGCCGCCCTCATTGTGGCTGCTGTCCGCGCGGCTGGTTAGGCCAAGGCGACGCGGCGGATGGTGCCTAGAAGAAGAAACAACCGCATAAACGTAAACTGTTGGCGCTCCACGCGGATTTTTGGGACTCGCGCTGGACCCCCCTCCCTGGCGCGCGGAGCGCGCCAGGGGCGGCGCCGGAGGCGCCGCCGGGGGGCCCAGGGCGCGGATCCGAGAGATCCGCGCGGAGCGCCAAAAGTTTATGATTGTTCGCATGTTTCTTCTTCAGGGTGTCGGCGGTGGCGGGTGCACGCTTCGGCGCGCGCGCGCGGTCGCGCGGTCGCGTCGGTCCCAGGAGAAAGAGGAGGAGGAGGAGGAGGAGGAGGAGGAGGAGGAGGAGGAGGAGGAGGAGCGTCCCCGGGAGGAGGTGTGGCAGCGGTCAGGCTTCGGGCGCGCGCCGCGCCGTCTGGGCCGCCGCCCGACGCGGACGGCGCTGAGCGCCAAGGCGTGCCGCTGTGCCCCTCTGGACGCCTTGGCACGGCAGGAGGCGCGGAACTCGCAGGCCTCCGAGGGAGAGGTGCTGAGAGGCAACGCCGCAGGCAGAGGAGGAGAAGGAGGAGGAGGAGGCGGAGGAGGAGAAGCAGGAGGAGGAGGAGGAGGCGGAGGAGGAGGAGGAGGAGCAGGAGGAGGAGAAGCTTGCGGAGCTGCGCGCCGCCGCGCGTGCTGCGGACAAAGAGAACGAGGACGACGACACGACGGAGGATCTGGACGATGCGTGGGCGGACGCTCTCCCTGTCCTCGTCGCGGCTGGAGCTGCTGCTGCTGGAGCCGGCCCGCGCGCCGCGGCGACGGGCCCTGCGGAGGCGGTCGCTCCTCGTCGGCGCGCGTGCTGGCGCGGCACCCGCGGCGGCGCCTGCGACGGCTGGTGCAGCGCCGGCGCTGGCGGCGACGGGAGCAAGCGGCGTGGGCATCGCCCCGTGGAGCCCGGCGCCCGCTCGCGCTGCGGCGGGCGGGCGCGCGGAGCTCTCGGGCAGCTGGCGGTGCGCTTGGAGGCGCTCGGAGGAGGAGGAGCAGGAGCAGGAGCAGGAGTAAGCAGTTGAGGAGGAGGAGGAGGAGGAGGAGGAGGAGGAGGAGGAGGAGGAGGAGGAGGAGGAGGAGGAGGAGGAGGAGCGCGCGGAGTAGTCGGCGCACGGCCGCGGGCCCGGCGCAGGGACGGGGAGGCAGCGGAGGGGCCGGCGATGATGCCCTGCCTCCCGTGGAGGGGAGAGGCCGCCTGCCCCGTTCCCCCCCCTTCCCTACAGGGAATAGAAGCCGGGTGTTTGAAGATGACCAGTCAGATATTTGCGAAATGTTCAGAAAATGAAGCTCAGGTCGTCACTTCGCTGGTCCGAGTCGGATCGGCCAATCAGCTCCACCGTGCATTCGAATTCCTCTGAGCTCATCGATTCGAAAAGAAGCTTTACGAGGTACCGGCGTGCGTGTGCAACGATGTTCGTCCTCGGCATGCTTCAGACCGACAGCATGGTCGGGGACCTGGCATCGCAGGTAGCAGTGGACGACTCCACGACGGGAGGGCTGAGGGAAACCAAGCCCATCCAGGAGGAGGACGACGACGACGATGAAAGGTGAGGACGGCGACGAAGACGACGCGGACGACGACGAGGACGGCAAAGACACCATCCGAGAACATTCAAATCTTCCAGAAAGAGATGAAAAATACTGGGGAGGCCTCAGAAAGACTCTTGAAAGCTTCGGGACCGACGACGACGTCGACAGCCACAACGACCATGACGACCGACGGCGAGGGCGGTTCGCGAAGTCATCACCTCGCCATTCGCCGTGAACCTGCTCCTTCGCGCAAGTCGTGTCCCACGGCGAGGACGGCGAGGACGAAGGCAGGAGGACGAGAAGCGACACATACGAGGAGGAGCAGGACGACAAGGACGCGGAAGACGAAAGATGACGAGGGCGGCGACGAACAACGATGACAACGATGACGACGACGAACGGCGACAACGACCCAAAGCTTCACACTACACGCCAACGTGCAACACGGGGGGAGCCTCCCAGAGCTCCGACCGCCTCTGGGAGGAGAGAAGACGACGACGAAGACGACGACGGCGGCGACGGTGGCAATGACGGCGATGACGTCGGCGCTGGCGGCGACGACGACGCAACGACCACGACGGACGACGGCGAACGCCGAGGCTCTCAGCGGCGCTCAACGACGCCGCACGCGTCGTCGACGACGAGCGACGGCGAGGTGAGGTCTGGTCCTCGCAGATGCCGGCCCAGCCCATGGGGTCGAGGGGCCTCCAGCACAGCGCGGCGTCCAGCAAGCACAGCAGCGCCTGCTCGGCGCGCCGCCGCCCTCACCCGCACATCGCTCGTCGGCGTCGTCATCGGCGCCGCCGCCGCCGTCGGCGCCATCTTCGTCGCCGTCATCGCCGTCGTCGTCGCTGCCGTCGTCGTCGTCGGTGTCGTGCTCGTCGTCGTCCCTGCCGTCGTCTTCGTCGCCTCCGCCGTCGCGGTCGTCCCCCTCGTCGTCGTCGCCGTCTTCGTCGCGAAGTGAAAAGAGAAGGAGCCGCAGGAGGGAGGAGGGGGGAAGAGGGAGGAGAGAGGGAAGGAGGGCAGCAGCAGGAGGGAGGCCCCCACCTGCTTCCTCCTCCTCTCGCATCCCCCCTTCCCCGCCTTCCTCCACCTCCCATGCACTCCACGACAGATCTGGTGACGAATATCCACGGGAGGACCCGGAGGATGAGAAAACGAGGCTCCAGCCTCCGCCCTCATGTTACCTCCTCCTCCTCCTCCTCCGTCCTCCGTCCTCCGTCCTCCTCGACGAAGATGACGTCGACGACAACTGCGAAGACGACAACGCGGCGACGTCGGCGGTGGAGGAGCCGAATGGTCCTCCTCCTCGTCCTCGATGGCGACGGCGAAGACGACGTCGATGGGGGAGGATGAGGAGGAAGTGGCGCCTCCTCCTCCTCCTCCTCCTCCTCCTCCTCCTCCTCCTCCTCCTCCTCCTCCTCATTAGCATCCTCTGCCCTCCTGGCTCCTCCATCCTCCCTCCGGTATCCACCTCCTCGCGGTCCTCCCCTGCTTCGCCTCCTTATCCTCCTCCTCGTCCGCATCGTCGTCATCGTACTCGTCCTCGTCCTCCACGTCCCCCTCCCCTGGAGCACCAGAGGAAAAAAGCTGCACAACTGAGCGGAACTCTTGGATCGGCGGACCCCCCCTCCCTGGTGCGCGGCGCGCGCCGGGAGCGGTGCAGGAGGCGCCGACAGGGGGGTCCAGCGCGGAAGAAAGCAGTCCTCGCGGAATTCCGAACGCTTACGCTTCATGTGGTTTTCTCTTCTTCGATCACTTGCCCTCGTGCTCGGCGTACTCGTCCTCGCCCTCCCCTCGGCGGTGGACACACCTCCCTTCAGTAAACCTCCCTTCAGTGAAAACGGCCTGAGACCGAAATCGACGGACCTGGACCAGCAAAAATGACGGCCGCGACGCCCTCTCGCGAACCAGAAACAGCCAATTCGCTAATCGACATGTCAGGGTAGGAGGTGTGTCTATCCCCGAATGTGGTTTTCTCTTCTTCGTTCACTTGCCCTCGTGCTCGTCGTACAGTCGGGGCGTTGACCTCAGGAACCCTAGATAAGGAACGAGGCCCCTTCTCCCATAAACTGAACTTCGACTCGCCATGGAAACACCTCGGGAAGACCCGAGGCAAACTGTTACACCATCGAGGAACACCGAGGCCCCCCCCCCCAAACGAAGGGCTTCCTCCTTCGGCGCCCCGACTGCACTCGTCCTCGCCCTCCGCGCCCACGCCCTCGCCACCGCAGCCGCCGCCTGTGTTGGACGCCCGAATTATCTGGGGTAACTCGGGTCCGGGGTAACTCGGGTTTGGGTTCCCGGAAAACGAACCCGAGTTGACCCTGACCCGAGTTACCCCTGATGCTTCGGGGCTCTGGACGCCCGACTTATCCGGGGTAACTCGGGTCCGGGGTAACTCGGGTTCGGACTCAACGAAAAAACGCAGAACTGTGAACGAGAAACGCCACACATCAAGGAGTCGCAAACAAGAAATCATGAATTCCCCCGAAGAAGAAATACAGAATTGCGAAACAGAGTGGCAAACATCAGGGACCCGCCGCCCAGAAATCGTCGTCCGTCCATCTCATCCCGCAACTCGGTCTTGGGCGCCCGCACACCCGTGAAGGATGGATTCTGGGGCTCCCCTGACCACGGCGAGCCTTGGCCACGAGCAGGCCCCCCGTCTCAGACTTAAGGAACGGCCCGGAAACCAAAGCACCGCCCGAATCCACAGTGGTCCTTCTCGGCGGTGGACAAGCCTCCCTTTGATAAACCACCCTCTAGTGAAAACGGCCAAGGACCGAAAACGACGGACCTGGAGCCGCACAAATGACGGCCGCACCCACCACGGCCCGGCCTCAAGATCTACACTTAACGGGGCCTGGGCAAAACCCTGACCCTTGGGGAGCGGACCGGAGTGAAGAGGCCCAAACACAGTACACCCTGCGAAATGCTTTAGAAATCATGGGTTAAGAAATTCATAGTCTCAGAACTTGACTAGAAACCCAACATTTTCTATTGCAATCTTAGGATTTACATTGAAACATTAAGAATAATCGAGCCTCTGGCCGAAAACTTAGGTTTTCTTAAGCATCGCCTAAGGTGTAGGGACGGAGGGTCTCTTGCAGCAGATGCGTCGAGCCAAACCGCCCCGATGAAGCTATCCCTCGCGCAAGCACGGGGATCCAAGTGAGACTACTCCAGATTTCGTAGTGAAAGGGAGGGGGGCTGGACCCTCCGAGACGGGCCATTTCAGACCCCCCCCCCCCGTGGGAGAACCCTCCAAAACATCGTCCCCAGACCCCCCAGGCCCTCCAAGATGGCCTGGAGGAGACCCCCCCCGAAATGAGACCCCCCTCCCTTTATTACGAAACCTGGAGTACATCTTCACTGTGTTGTGAGGGTTGAGAAGGCCTTCTGTGCTTCGTGACTCGATCCTGCTCGTTTCCATGTCCTCGCCGGCTTCGTCCTCGCCGCCGAGAGCGCGGGCACGCCGGCGGCACTCGCCGCTGCCGCCGGTGGGCCTGGGCCCGCCGCCAGGGAGGCGCTTTCCCGCAACGCTCCTGCAGCACCCCGCACGGAGCTGGCACCCTTCCTGCCGCTGTCCTGGTCGGGGATCTGCTGACCCGGGTCAATCCAAACCGGGGTCACTCGGGCCTTGCCAGATCCCGCAGGAACCTGCAGGATCCTGCACCCAAGCCCAGGTCAGTGGTGCGAGTGCGAACCTGGCTCAGCAGGATCCTGCAGGATCCCGCGCCCTGGCTGACCACTGTTTGCATTGACCTGTTTGCATTGACCTCCGCCTCTTGAACCCAGACCTGTTCCCTCCTGCGCGCTGCCCGAACACTCGTGATTTACTGGGTGCCCGTCTGTGTGTCAGGGGGGCGTAAGACCTGGGTACAGGGGACTGGGAAATCCCCGACGAGGTCGTCAAAAAAATGACGAGGCCGAGCCTGCATTTTGACGAGGCCTCCCGCGGCAGACATCCCACGAAACTCCTCCTAGTCAAAATCCGAGGCGCGGTCGTCAAAAAACGATGGCGAACCCGAGTCCTGGCAAACCCGGGCCTTACGCTCCCCCGAGTGTGGCGCTGACCGCTGTCCCCGCCGCCGCCGCTGAGCCTGCGCCCGCCGGCGGAACTCGGCCTCCTCCGCGCCCGCGGCGCCGCTGCCTGACGGCGCGCAACGGAGGGGGGGGGGGGGCATCGGAGAGGGGGGGGGAGGAGGAGGAGGAGGAGGAGGAGGAGGAGGAGGAGGAATGCTATGGGAATGCTATGAGAGCGGACCTCTGTCCTCCACAAAATTACCCACCTATGGGGTTAGTCTGAACTGCCTGAATCGCCTCCTCCTCCCACCGCCCCAAGAGAAACGCGGGGCGGCTCCCGTCGTCGAGCCTGTGCACTCCGAAGCGGTGCAGCACTCTCCTGGGCGGCGGGCCTTGCCTCCGCTGGGACGGGCGGTGGGGGAGGGGCGAGGGAGGGGCCCCCTGGCGCTTCACCTTCGCACGAACGACCGACGTGAGACGACACCACCCTCTCACGATCACGCGCCGCCATAGCCTCCACTACGGCTTGGGGGGGGCCCTCCCTCCTGGGATATATACCCTTACGAATTCGAGTGAGGTTCTCAGTCCCCTTGGGGGTCAATCCCTCACACCGCTTGCTGATATGCCTGCCATCTACCGTAGCGTAACGACCACACTTGCTGCAGGCATGCATGAACCACTTGTCCACATAAAACATCGCGTGAGTTTCGTGAAACTCAAAGGCCCCCGCAACGAAACTTCTGGGGGCCTGAATCACCTCTGGGGGCAACTGCCCCTCTGGGATGGCCCTGCCTGCACAAGGGGTGGCCGAGAACTTTAGCAGACGAGAGCCTGGCACCACCTGATCGCACACAGCACACCTCCAACCCGTGCCCGACTTCTCAAGGCGGTGGGCCGACTCTCGAACTGCTACAGCACACTTGTTGGCTGGGGGTCGCTTCGCAACCTCCTGCCTTCCATTCTTCGCTTGGACTTCTGCACTCGCTGAGTCGGCCGACGCCCGTCTCGCGCGCCGTCGCACTAAACTGGCAATAGCATAAATTCTATCTGTCTGCGGGTTCTCCCCAACCAAACCGAACTCCCAAGCCAGCTCCGCCCCCTCTCCCGCCCATATATCAGCTACCGCATTACCCACCGCAGTCTCTAACTGCAGCTCGGTAGTCAGCAGCTCTGGGGATTCATCCATGTGAGAGGGTGTCCACTGCACTTCGACAGTGGCGGTATCTGGCCTAGAACTCCAGGACACGCGGGCCCTGGTCCACAAATCTTCATTAGCCCCAGTCGGGCTCGGGTTCTCCATTTTAAAACGCCACTTCTTAGCGACCGACAGATGATCAGTAACGAAAACGAACGGCCCAGGGATCTCTTCTAACGCTAAACAAAATGCCTGGATCTCTGAGCGCGGGACGGTTTGGCGGGCTCCGAGCAGGGGACGGGCCAACGCCGCTTGGACAATCCATTCTCCCTGGGACCACCTCAGGGAGCAGATAGATGAGCCGCATCTCCTCCGTCTGGGGTCGTCCGAAAATCGCCCCCCCGAGCCGTCGCCGTAAACCTTTAAAACCCCGTCGCTTCCTCGAGAGGCCTCAAAGTCCCCCCCCCCGCCCAGCCTAAGCTCCCGCCCCTCCAGCCGCCCATCGTCAAAGAGGGGGTGAGTGAGGCGAGTAGGGGGAAGACCACGGAGCCATAAAGCTGGCTCCGCTTCTGCTTGTGCTAAAGCCGCAACTACCAAAGGCTCAGTTTTAATATAATCGCTATGATCAGTGTTCCTGGAACATTCCCATATTCTATGCTTCAAGCTCTCAGGGGCTTGCTTACATCTCGGGCAATCGACTGTTACTTCGTATCCTTTTTCCCTGCAGCGAACTCTCGGCCACTGGCCGCCAGCGACCACCGTCACGTTGAGCGCCAGCTGATCCAGCATCCCCTTGCGCTCGAACCTGCGCTGCTCCATTACAATGGGCCACAGGTCTCCGCCCTCCTGCAGGTTGTCACCGAACTCGTGCTTGGCAGCCTCGGTCCAGAGGTCCCTGCGTAGGTCGCCCTCCAGGTCGTCCAGGAGCTCCTGGAAGCAGCCCGTGGCCACGAACTTGCCGTCCTCTGAGGTCGGCAGCTCCCACATCCCCAGCTCTTCTGGTCCAGGTCGATGCCATTGAGTGGCTGTCGAGGGTGTCCATCCAGCATCCATTAGCGTTGCCATCAGAGCTCCTGTGGGGCCCCGTACAGCTCGCCATCTCTTGTCTCCATATCTGTGGAGACGCGCCTTGATGAGCGGCCATGCTTTCGCAACTCGTCGATGGATGTGGGGAAACCTCTGCCACAGGCCTATCCATTCTCGTACCACACCCAGTCTGAGATCAACTGCGGGGTCTCTCAGGCCTAGCTCCATGCCCAGTGTGGTCGTCAGACATCGACCTCCTGCACTGCCTCCTGCCACTTTGCCCGCCTGCCTTCTCAGCACGGTGATCGCCTGCTTGGACATGCCGTACGTCTGCTGTCCATAGATCGCCTGCGGCAGTGCGCCCACGTTGTAGAGGCCCTTGGACTCATGCTTCAGCGCAGCGATCTTCCTCAGCTTCACGATCTTCGCAAACCTCCTCCTCGCCTTGAGCTGCCGCTGCTTACTCTTTGCTGCTACCCGCTTGCGTCCTGCAGCTGTGTCCAGGCCCAGGTCCGTCGCCAAGCCGCTGGCCTTCGCAGGTATGCCACGTATTCGTAGTCTCTTAGCTGTCTTCCGAGCCTCCTTCAAGTCTGAGCCTATCACCGTGGTCTTATTCGATATGGTCATGCGTTGTTCCACCAATCCAGTGCATATATCCGTCGACACCTCCAGTAGCTGCTCCGCCACCGTCTGTGAACTGCCCTCGCATCTTGCTACCGTGTCGTCCACGAACGTCCACAATCCTGCTGTTGGGTGTCTTCGATGCGCCATCTCAAGCACTGGATGAAGAAAAAGCTTCGCTAGAGTTACTCCTCTCGCGGATCCTGCCACCAGTGATCTGGTAGGCCAGATGGCCTCGCTGATGACAGAACGCTCCTGCAAGTATCTGGGTCCAAGAAATATCATCGCTTCCAATCCAACTGCCACCGCAGGGAATCCTGCCGTACACGCAATCTGCAGTAAGATGACCAGCGAGACCGTGTCGTAGAACTTTTCTATATCCAACAACAATGTCATGGCCGAGGCGCCGATCTCAATGCCTGTCTCGTCTAAGATCGACCGAAGGAGTCCTGCCCTGAGCGCCGAGCTGCCCTTGATCGCAGTGTCCCAGTGGTCTGATAGCCCAGCACTCCACAAGGCACATGCTCCGCCTCGCGCTCTCGACCATAACTTAACTGGTAACGGTAACATACCCAATACTCGATCACCTGCACCTGGCCCAGGCTTGGCCACCATAGCGCACTTGGTGGCTGATAGCTGTCTTGGCCATGTCAAAGTACTTTCACTTCTCTGCAATATTTCCAACAATTCTTGCTTAGCCTGGCCAGGAAGTCTGTCAATATCCGTGGGGCCAAGCTGATCCAGACCTTTCGCTTTGGATGCCGATGTGACTCGGAGCGCACTATTGAGCAAGTCCATGTCTATGGGGTCTAGGTCCTCTTCCCACGCTCTTCGCTTGGTGCGCTCCAACTGCTCAATGATGTCAGCTCGTCTGTCCACAGGGTCCGTCCAGATGGTCTTCCACTTTCCTGCCTTAGTGTTCATGATGATGGTGGGGTCAGCTGTGGCGAAGTCTTCTCTGATGGCCATCTCATAGCGGGGCGCGTCCTTGGGCTTGACATGCCTGTGCAAGATGCCCGCCTTGGTCTGCCATACCTTTTTTGCCCAGGTAGCGAAGTTCTTCCGAGCCGTGGTCATCGATCTGGACGACGCCACCGCCAAGTGCTTCTCTGTCTGGGTCACCAGATTCGCTAGCTTCCCCTCGTCTAACTGCCATATGTCGGATGCCATGTCGAAGTACATCTCGCTGCTGGCCTCAGTCACATTCTTGCTGAAGGCGTCCTCTCGCGGCAATCCTCGCAGAACTCCAAGCTGCTTCTGTATGCGTGTCACGCACATTCTCTGCTGCTGCCCGTCGGTGCCGTTCGCCAAGAGTGACTGATATCTGACCAGATCTGCTGCCAGTATACTCCATTCTTCCGCAGGGCCATACCGCATGTGAGTTCTGCCTGGCGTGGGTTTTGCTCGCACCCATCGTATATCAAAGCCTGCTGCGCGTCCCTGGCATCCCTGCGCCTCCTGCTCGTCCAGCTGCTCATGCCTGATGAACGCCTCCTCCACCTTGGCGACCCACCGGCCGTACTGCTGCGTCAGCTGGTACTCATCCTTCTGGTGCTTCGTGCCTCTGGTGATCATCTTCTCACCTATGATGTGCATTTCCTCCGACAGCTCCATCTCGTGCTCCACGAGCCCGACCTGCTCCCAGAGCTCCTCCGAGACGCAGTAGGGCATCTTCCGCACTGATGCGTCCTGGCTGTCGGGGACATGCTGCTCGAGTATCATCGCCTCCTCGTACGCCTCCTGCAGGTGCTCCTCCAGGGCCTGCTGCCGACGTCGCTGCGCTTCCTGCTTCCTCTTGCTCGTCTTGGAGTCAGGGTCCGCCGCCTTCTGAGGTCTCGCCTGGTATGGGAGCGCCTTAGGGATAACTAGCTTCCTGTGCCACCAGCTTTCCTTGGTGCCCTCGATCGTAAGCTGGAGCCCACAATGCGTACGCCATGGCACGCGTCCCTGAACGTGCAGCTTGAGTCTAGGGGCGAAGTCCGCTCTTGCTATGCCGTAGTCAATGAGGCTTCCCTTGCCTTTGTCACATGCGATGCCAACATCTGGTCGTAGCACCACTCCTCCTAGCTTGCCAGGTAATTCAGCGCGTTCCATGTTGTCCGCTGGGATGTTCCAATCAGCCAGGACCACCCATGGGTCCGTGAGAGATCTGATGAAACCTGACAGGGATCGAATCCTGTGGTAATTCGACCCTGTGAAGCCTTCGCCTGGAACCAGGTAGGCCGAGATCAGGATGACGTTGCCCGAGCGCGTGTGGACATTGAGTGCCGCGAAGCCCCTGAACGGGTCGACGTCTCCGTTGTCCACGATGCGCTTCCTCAGCAGGTCGTATCCCGTGCATGCGA